TAATGCTGCACTAAAAATACAGCACTAAAAATATAACCCTACAGGCAATTTGCTAATACCTACTTTGCAGATGAATTGGCAATATAAGACACAGAAAGAAGTCTCTGATTCAAAATGCAGAATTTATAAATGCTTTTCTTATATAAATGTCTTTTTAACCTCATGTCCTGATCACATGTAAACAGAAATTGGAAATCAAATAGCTTTAGACTGTCTTAGTTGCTTGATAAGCATAAAACTCCTGAGTAATCCATTTACGTTTCCCTTGAGAAGAAAATTAATATGTCTGCCAGGCAGTTGGGTTCAATTCTGTTTTCAGGGCAATGGTTTGTTTCTGGTGCCAATCAGCAACTGAAGTGTTTGTCCCCCTTTAAGGGATCACAGAACCAATTTTATCCAATTATGCTCAGGGGTTCTCCCCCCACCCCTGCATACAATGACTTCTTTTGGTTTTACACCATCTTGAGCTCTAGTCACAGCCAACAAACATGTTGGGCTAGGGGAAGAGTGGGAGGGAAAAAAGCTGGTATGATAAGATAGCAAAAGCAAATTCACTTTGGAGCAAAGGTAACACTAAAAGGTGCAGGTTTTGTGCATTTTAATGCAACCAAGTATGTGCTGTTTTCACTCAGGTTTGGAGTATTGATTTCTGTGCTTTGTGATTTGGTAATGGTTGTGGATTGTAATAAGCTAGATTTCTTTCCACATACATCCTAATCTCCCACAGTGAAAACAAATTAACACAAGACTGAAAGAGTAAGTAAAAGATCAATTTTAAATGTATGATAATTTAATATTTAGGTATTTGAGCAAAGTCAGTAGTGTTGGGGGGCAAAGCCAGCATCTCCCCCAGTACCTACCAGCTTGACAGGAGGTTAGGTCAGGGCTTTTGAGTCCCACAGTCACTGAACTTCGCTTACTAAAACCACTTTTTTTTTGTTCACTATGTCCCTCCATCATCCATGCAGTCACCCCAGATATGAAAAATTTCTCCAGATGTGGGGAGATATTAGCAAGTTCCTAAACTTCTCATAAATTCTCTCCTTAAATGGAGATACCCACCTGATACCCACTAGGACAGCGCAAAAAAGCCTGGACTCAAAGTAAACACGGAATTCACAAAGCAGAGGGTTAAAACTTGTGTGAGGATTTGAAGCAATAGATAACAATTAAAAGCATAAATTCATGGGACATAGTTCCCTACAGAAAACATGTTTACATGAGAATAACACTGGAAAAGTCTTTTTTCCCATCAAAGAAAAAAGAAAATATGTAAAAGAGAATGTTGGTGATAATTTTTTTTCCAGTGTTCAGCCTCTACGATTCTAGAATAAGCTTAGGAGACCTGTATATAAATGCACCAATAGGGAGCCACTTATATGGCAGCTTTATTCCTCCACCTTTCTAAACGAAAGATGGACCTCTTTATTCCTCATTACATGCTGCTGAAGTTTTATTTTGGCTCTTATGCAAAGGATGAATTAATATTATTTTTCCCTTATTATTTGTGATATTACACTACTTTGCTAGCCTGTGCAACCCAAAGGTTTGGAGCAAAAGAGATGGGATGGGAAGTGTCTGTCCAAGCATGAACAATATATTGCCATTGTTTTAAAGTCAAGTGAGAACATTTCCTTTTCCATTAGAGCCCACAGAGTCTACCTCTGTTACAGAGGTTTCTTATTTGCAATATAGAGTACTTCACAAGAATGGAGGACTGTAGGCATTTTATGGAAGTCAAGGCTTGGGGTTTTATTTCATTAAAAATGCAAGAATATCACTTATCCCACTAATGATGATAAATCACTGGTAACTGAAACTACTGATAATTTTATAAAAATATTATACTGCTTTAGCCGAGAGTCTGATGTGTGAGCCTTTATAGTCATGATGCAAGCCTGAAAACTCACTGGTCTGCTCTGATCAAGACCAGCTGTTTGTTTCACAGTTTTGTAAATCATCTTTTAACCAAAAAAGACAGGCAAATAATTTTCACTAGCTGGCATCCACCTTGCTCAAGAGGGAGGAAAGAAATGAGACTGCAGTAGAAACTGAGGCATTTTTTTAGAGTTTAGTAGAACCTCTTGCTTAACAAACTAAATTGACTGTACCCTCACATAAGCTTGTAGTTCTACTCAATATGATGTTGCTCAGGTTAGGGAAAGAATGTCAGGGAAAGGAAGGATCAGCATAGGTCTTTGAGTACTAAGCTTACTTCATAGATTCTGTCTCATGTATGTTTTGTTTCGTTGGATTATCTGCTAATGAAAATACATTGTTCTCCATGAGCTGTGATTCCTTAAAACTAGCACTGAAAATAGCTGTTTATATTCTTTATTCCTTAAAATAAATCTGGTGTCAAGATACCTAGAAAATATTTGAAAATATATGAAACCATAGTAATACTTCATGTCATATATAAAGTTTCTATAAATGAACTTTCAGAAATCTGTATGTTCTAATTCAGTGTTAAACTAAGCTTATAAAAATTTCCACAAACTACAGGCCCGTCAGTCTCACTTCAGTGCTTGGTAAAGTTATGGAGAAGATTATTCTGGAGGTACTGAAAAACACCTTAAGGACAACAAAATAATTGGTCAGAACCCACACAGCTTCATGAGAGGAAAAATCTGCTTACCAAACTTGATTTCCTTTTATGACAAAGTAACCCACCTGAGTAAGGGAAGACATTTGATCATTTTGGATTTCAGTAAAGGCTTCAACACTATCTCTCACAGGATCTTTCTGGATAAAATGTGCAGCTCACAGCTGGATAAACACATTTTGGGATGAGTGAACAACTGAGTCATGGCACAAAGGGTTACAGTGAATGAGGTGACACCAAACTGGGGACCTGTCACTGATGGGTTCCATAGGCCCCCATCCTCAGCTCTGTGCTCTTCATAAATGACCTGGACACAGGACTGGAAGGGATACTGAGCAAGTTTGCAGATGATACAAAACTGGGAGGAGCTGTTGACTCTATCGAGGGCAGGGAGGCCCAGAAGAGAAACCTTGACAAATCAGGGGTCTGGGCAATCACCAGCCACATGAAGTTCAACAGGGAATGTGCTGGATTCTGCACCTGGGATGGAGCAGCCCTGGATGTATGGAGAGACTGGGGAATGAGACTGCTGCTGGGAAGCAGCACCATGGAAAAGGACCTGGGGGTTCCTGGTCAATGATGTGTTAAACATGATCCAGAGGTGCCCTGGCAGCCAGGAGGGACAACCCTGTCCTGGGGGTCATCAGGGCCAGCATCACCAGACGAGCAAGGGAAGGGACAGTCCTGCTCTGCTCTGAGCTGGGGCAGCCTCAGCTCCAGTGCTGGGGACAGCTTAGGGCACTACAATATAAGAAAGACATTAAACTAGAGAGAGTGACCAAAGAAGGCTACAAAGGTGGTGAAAGGCATTGAGGGAAGCTGTATGAGGAGCAGCTGAGACCATTTGGTCTGTTCAGCCTGGAGGAGACTGAGGACAAACCCCACTGCAGTTACAACTTCCTTGTGAAGGGAAGAGGATCTCTGCTTTGATCTTTGCTTTGTGGTGACCAGTGACAGGACCTGAGGGAATGGTCTTAAGTTGTGTCAGTGGAGGAGTAGTTTGGATATTATTAGGAAGAAGATTCTTCACCAAGTGGGTGTCTAGGTTCCCCAGGAAAGTGGTCGCAGCATCAACCTGACAAGTTCAAAAAGAGTTTGGACAGTGTTCTCAGGCACATGGATGATTCCTGGAGATGGCAGTGCGCAGGACCAGGAGTTGGATGGTCTTTGTGGATCCCTTCCAACTCAGCATATTCTGTGATTCTGTGTTTTAAAATAACTCATGTATTTTAAAACAGAGTTTTAAAACATTTTTTAAGTATCCTATTCTTTAAGTATATTATTGTCCTTTGTTTTTTTAAGGAAAAATCCAGCTTCTTTTGTATTCTTGGGTCATGTGTGTTTATAGTTGTCAGGTCAACACAGAAAGAAAAAAGTTAACAAGTGGTGTGATAGAGAATGGAAACTAACTGAATAGTAATACCAAGAGATTTTTGGAGCAGCATCTTGTCTTGTTTGGTAAGTAGCAAGCCTCAAAAATTTCAGGTTAAGGAAGGCAAAAAGAGAAACAATTTTATTGCTTTTAGAAAATTAAATGTAAATTTAAAATATATGAATGATCACTTAGAAATTAAATAGTTCTTTTCATGTGATGGTGTGAGGGCCAAGATTACAATGTCACAGAAATGAGACAAGACAAGAAAGGAAGGATGATTGTCAGTCTGACATCAAATAGTTAACAGCTTCTCATTCTCAGAATTCCTTTCTTTTCCAGAGTTTATTTAAAAACTGGTTCCAGGATCTTCATTTCATACTTCTCAATGATATATAATTCTGAACCTGTTGAGCTGCAACAGCTAAAGGGCAGCATGCAAACTACAGCTCATTTAAAGGTGGCTAATTTTGAAATTCAGGCCCATAAACTTGATTTAAATTTTATAGGATCATCACTTTTGTTACCCTTTTAAATACAATTACACAAATGAAGTGACCATGTCTCCTTTCCCTATTAAATGATTTATTAATGTTTACTTGAGCAACCAACAAAATTAATTTTGAACATGCAAAAAATTTGTGCAGGAGACAAATTTACAGGTATATAATATATGGTAGTGGTAAATAGGCAAATCAGATTTCTTGCTAAAATATTCTTTTAAGAAAAGCATAATCCAATGTGAGCTTTCATGTCTGAGTAAAACTTTGGTTAAAATGAATTTTTCAAGTTGAAATTCATTTGTATGAGGACTGTACTGACCATGCAGCACCGTTATTCTGTTTTGCTGTCATTTGCTAATTTACTGTTGAAATGTTTGGAAAAGGATACTAGTGTGTAGTAACTAGTTTTATAGCTCTGTGTTTACTGTCCACATTGTAATACAAAACTTTTTCTACGCTACCTGTAAGGAGAAAAAGTGAATGCAAGTCTTGGCTTAGATCAAGAAACAAAATTCAGAAATATTTGTACTGTATATTCTAACTTTTAATTGAAACACTGTAGTTTGAGTCGTAAATTCTCTTCAAGAAAATCTCTAACATTTGCTTGCTCATTGTTTCCTCTTCTTCATTTCTGCATTACAGTTCACCTTATCCTCTACTGTGTAACTTCGTGTCATCATGTGTACTACAGAAAAATAGAACAATTAGATTAATAAACAAGTAAATTAATAAGAAGTGGAAAGAGAAAAAAATTACTTAAATAATCTTGTTTATAATATTTTCACCCCCCCAAACATTGTATTTTTGTCTTTAAGAAGCCAATGCAGGTGTAGGAGTGGAAAGCTGAGGTAAAAAACTAATTGGATGTATTGTTTGGTAAAAACAAATCCCAAAACTAAAAACACCCCAAAAAGAATCACATAATGACAATAAAAAGTTAACTTTACCTTTTCCCTTTTTCTTTCCTCCACATCTTATAATATATTTGCATAGAGAGATCTAAAATAAAAATAATTAAAACTGTTCTTTTCTGTAAAAGGAGTAGAAGACAGTTTGGCAATGCATTAGAATTTTAAGATTGATAGGTGTGCAACTACCGCATGTATATCAGGAAAGGACTTGGTATAGCCAGGAAAATAACTGTATTCATATATACAGCTATAAATCATATATATAAATTGATGTACCACACATAGCAAATGATGCTGTACATTTTAGAAGCAATATTTTGTCTAATAGCAACTCTTTACTGCAATTTTTGTTCTAATGTGGATAAATCCTAATTGAGAGGTTATTCACATTTCTTCAGTTATAATAGAGACACAATCAATTAATTGTGTCATTGTTAGAAGTCATAGGCAAGTCATGTTCATGACCTCTTTCTGACCTTGAGCTGAACACTCTACTCCTAACATAGGTAAACTCAAAGGCAAAACAAATTAGAGTTTCACATATGAAGTCATGAGTTCTGAACTGAGTGTTATCACTCAAGAGGAAGACCTTCAGCTTATAAAAAAATGACTTCATGAAACCAGTAGTAGCCTAAAAAAAAAAAGTCAGACAGTTATTGGGAAAATAAGAGGGAAGAATTATCAGAACATCGCAAAGTAATCATATAAGTTTGCACTTCCTTTTGAATCTTACACATGATTTTGGTCAATTTTAAAGGCACCTGGTACATTATGTTTGAGTGCTTCACTGGGCTGGGGATGAAAGCAGCATTTTAGGAGAAAGAAACATATATGGCAGCCATAGTCAAACTCTTCCCTACACAAACAGTCATGGTCACAGCTGGAGTCATGTCTATCTTGAACAGGTAAGGCTGGTCTCTTCTCCTTAACAAAACTGCCTACAATGTGGAGCTCTTGACCAAAATAAAGAGCACATGGGATAAAGAATAAGAAAGGTACATATCAGGAGGATCTCAGAGTGAAACAAAACTGCAAATTAATCTATGTGCAAAGCAGCAAAATACTGGCAGAGCCTGCAAGAGTTCTACAAAGCTTTTTTCCTGTTATGGGTCTATTATTGCATGATATATTCAGAGACCCATGCAAATAAAATACATTATTGGGGTTTTTGGGTGTAGTTCAGAGCTATTTTATTTTATTAGTTTAGTTTATTCTTTTTAGCTGCCTAGAAGCATATTCTGTGATATTTTTGAGACCCAGAAGTATAGTTTTCTTGTCAGAGTTGAATAAAAGCTTGGCCGTACTTGTGAAAAAAAACCCAATCTTTGGCCCTACTGTTCAGTGAATATTGATGATAGAGGAGGACACTTCAAACAGATAAAGTTGCGTTAGTGCTTTTAAATTTGTGCATGGGAATATGCTCATCTGGAGGAATTGTTGGAGATGCAAAATCAGATAAATGCCCCATTTAGTACAAAATTACTGCTACAAGAGGACAGCTCTGAAAAAAATACATTTGGAAAGCCTGAAGAGTAATTTCAAATAAAACAAATTGTACAGGCTTATAATACAGTTAAATACATTTTTTTCACTTCTGGCTTCTGTTACTGACAAGAGAAACAAAGCATATTTTCTTCTATATATAAACATATGCATTCTAAGTGCTCATTACATGTACTAGTTATATAGAGAATCAGGGTTTTTTCTTCTTCTTATTTTTTAATCTAAATTCAATTTTAATTTTAGAAGGAAAATGCAGGATCTTTTATAGGTATTGTAGTTGTCTTACAGTAGTTGTCTTACCTTACGTAAGGTAAGACATAAGGTATGTCTTACCTTATCCCTTATGTAAGGGATATTTCTAGTAAGAAAAATATATTTCTAAAAGCAATAAACTACACATTGCCATTAATAATAGAATTGTTAATCTATAATCTATAATATACACCTACTTAAGAAAATTACCTTTGAGGTTTTTTGTTTTTTCTTTTTGTCAGCTTTTCTTAATAAGAAACCTGCCATTGTCTCAAGCTCTCTATACTGTTGAAATTCATTATTGGGTAAATCTATGTCATGGTAAAAACAAAAAAAACCTCACCCTCCCTGCAAAAAACACGCTATACATATATCCCTCCTGTGGAATAATGATATCTGGAATGACAGGAAGTATTAAAAAAACCCATAAAAATTACAAAGGTATGTGCATGAATGGTTCTTAATGGTTTTAAAGGAATAGAGTGAATATGGCCATGACTGAACTGCAAAAATCCATTTTATCTCCATACCTCCCAAAATGCAGCAACCAATTCCTTTGTGGCAACAATCTATTATCTGGGATTCAACTAACAAACTCGGGACAAATACTTCCCCATTAATAAACCATAAAGATATTTAATTTATTCTGAATAATAAGAGCACTGAAAGAATTTACACCAGCAGATTCAAAGAAATTAGCTAAGAAATTCAGTCATAATGTACTAAAACTGTGCTAAAGAGAAAACAGATCTACAGTTGCACTGTAGGTTAAACAGCTTAGTAGCTAAAGAAAAAGCTGTGCACAGAAAAAAAAGAAAGCAAGGAATTAACTCACCACTTCACGTGGGCAGGCAGTTACAAGGCCCCAAAAAACTTGCTCAATGAGACTTTTAAAAGGGCTTACAGTTGTCCAGATACTCTTGGTGAGATGCTCAGGAGAAAGACTGACAAGATATTCTCAAGAGGTCAAAATTACACAACAAACCTTTGCAGGCAACTTTGGAAATTGAAGAACATAGGTAAAAGTGTAGAGTGACATTCAATGAACACTTCAACTCAACAAAACACTTCTCAAAGCATTAACTTAGCCCATTCAACTTAACAAATTCTAAGTCCATATGATTTTAAATTACTCAAAAAATCGGACAAGGGAGAATTAGAAAAAGAATAAAGTGAGGACAGAAAAGATGTAGGCAAGAACAAAATATAGCTAGCAGTCCTGGTTCCAGTGGTGTTCAGCTGACAGAATTTCCAAGAGGAGGTAGGCTCAGGACGCGTGCTTGCCGCAGGCTTTGGTTTAAATACCCTTTGGGCCTGCTGGGCCCTTCCCCCGGCTGGGACTCGCGGTCACTCGGCCACTGCCAGGCCCGGCTGGGGCCGCAGGGCCGGGTGTGGAGCGCGGCCTCCGGCGTGCCAGGGCCTGGCGGCCGCGGCGGGGCTGGGACACGGGCCCGGGGCTGGGCCGTGCGGGCAGGGCCTCGCCTCAGCAGGGCAAGGCCCGGCCTGCCCGGCCCTCACACACACAGAGATTCCAGCCAGCAATCCTCGCAGTCTCTCACACTCTAACCCAGACTGCAGAACCATATAATGCTATGATCAGAGAGAAAGAAGAGAAAAATAAAAAGTTGATTAATACAGTGTAACTGATTTTACAATTTAACACAGAAGTTTGGGCTGACGAGCTTTCAGCTTTTTGGTAGTGGGAAATATCTCACTGATGAAGACCATGTCACCAGAGCTACTGACAGAAAATGCAATTATTCCATACAATAATCACATTAACATGATATGCTAGTTGTCTCTAAGCAACCTGTAGCCATCTATATAATTTCTTGTGTCACCTTTAAAGAATAACTTGTCTTGGCTTTTTCTGAAATACTTGCTGTCTCAGTCTGCTAATGTTTTAGAGGCTGTAAGCATCAGCACTCTGCTTGGAAGAGAGTTGTTCTCTTCAGAGATTCCAAACACGTAAACAAGATATTCAGTCCAACAGTGTCTCACCCTGCAAGCTAAATTTCTTTCACCCCTTAAATTTCAGGTAATCTTTCATTTAGGTCAACAGTAATGAAATATACTGTACAAATATATTTGCCTTCATTTCTTTGTACCAGTAATTCGTACCAAAAGTACCCCCACCCCTCTCCCTCCTCACCTAATAAATATAAAAAATGGGGTGAATTCACTCATACAAGAAAGTGTTAGCTGGACTAACAGTGTGCCAGCTAGATGAACTGTACCATATTCTATGTTTTTACCACACATGCTCCATTTCTACAGTGTTAACAGTAAAATGTTATCTAAAGTAATTTAATTCCCCTGATTTGTTCTGCTCCAAGTCAGCTTGGAAATTAGGCAGCTGCCAAATAAACTGCCATATTTGACACTTTACATACACAGCAAATGGATCATCATTAGAGGAAAACCTATATGCAGTGCAAAGTCTCATTCACCTTTCACCCTGTAGAAGGTGTTCTCAAGAGTGAGTGCACCCCACAGGACACAAAGGAAGCTTGTTCCATGATAAATGGCAGGGAAGTTAGGCCACTGGTAACAAGCATCATGGATGATTAATGCTCGTGAACACAAAGAGTTACCACTAAGTCTCAAGCACAATAGGAAAGTGCCTGAATTGTTTCAACATGTGAAAAAGCATATAGCCACATTCAGTAATTCAGTACATGAGACACATATACCACCAAAACCTGTATGAAGTAAATGCTCAGAAAAATCTTTGCTTATGAGCCAAAGAATATAGTAAATATGTCAGTATTAACTTCTTTCTTGCTGCTAACATATAAGATAACTGCATCATCATGTATGCAGTAATTCTCTATTGAAATAGTGAATAAATAACTCTGACAAATGCTGCCATCATGTAATTGGTATAATGAGTTTCAATGGGGCTGAGATTCTGAGAGTGATTTCTAGCTGGAGTAGATTAGGAATAAATAATGGAAGCTATTGCAAATTTAAGTGAGATCACTGAGACAGGATTCTGACATGATTTTTGTGGACAATTGTTAGAAAAGAACAGCTGAAAACAAGAAATTCTATCAAAGCTTGATCAAGAGATAAATAAACTCTTGTAGATCAGATGCAAAGCATCTTACAAGCTGCTTTAGAAATAATAAAAGTACAAACTACCACCTGAAATTAGACCTACAAAAGGTCTTGTTAGTTATTGCTTTCATTTGTTCTGCCAAGTTTTAAAGAATGTTCAGAAATAAAGTGTTACAATAAGCTTGTACTCCCAGGGACAAGCAGGACAGCTTCTTCTTTCTAGGTTCAGCTCTGCTGTGATATTGTTTGTGCCCAAGGAACTTTGAACTGAAAAACTGCCATTCTCCTCTCTTTATGAATCCGTTTCCTTGCTGACTGCATTTTTTCCATTTGGCTGGATTGAGAGGCAAGTACATTTCTGGGGAAGTAATGCAGCAAGTGTTTGATATAATAAGTTTGAGGCTCCTTTTTTCATAAAGTAAGATGTAACAAAAATCCTACAAATACTCTAATTCTGTCCCAAATTAAGCACCACAAACATGGATAATACTTGTAAAATTTACAGAAGATTGTCACCATTTGCATTATGCTTTGTTCTCAGCAAGGGATGGTGAAATTGCTTATTCGTTTCAAAAAATAAGCAGTACATACTAGGGTTTACAGTGACTTTTTTTCACAGAAGTAACACTAGATCAGAGTTCAGGACACCTCTTCTTGCCTTAGGCTTACTTTATATTCTCAAAGCCTATTTGCCCTCTCTCTACAAAGTTGCTTTTAATAACTTTTTAACAGTACTGGCTACAGAAAGTTACAGGGGACAGAATATGGAGATGCTATGGCACTGTGCTTTTCTTTCTCTTTCTTTCTTTCTTTCTTTCTTTCTTTCTTTCTTTCTTTCTTTCTTTCTTTCTTTCTTTCTTTCTTTCTTTCTTTCTTTCTTTCTTTCTTTCTTTCTTTCTTTCTTTCTTTCTTTCTTTCTTTCTTTCTTTCTTTCTTTCTTTCTTTCTTTCTTTCTTTCTTTCTTTCTTTCTTTCTTTCTTTCTTTTTCTTTCTTTCTCTCTTTTCTCTCTCTCTCTCTCTCTCTCTCTCTCTCTCTTTCTCTCTTTCTCTCTTTCTCTCTTTCTCTTTTAATTTAATTTTAATTTTTAAAATTTTATTTTTTTAATTTTTCTCTCCCTTAAAAGTATTGTAAAAATAAATCCTTGTGAAAGAAGGAAGAGAAAGGGAGAGGATAATTGAGTGGTAACTGTAGTGTCTGTATGGTTATATCCCAAGGGGACACTTCAAAATAAAACACAGGCTCCTATTTAGTCAACTGCAGGGTCCATCTGACATATGAACGTGAAAACCATTTTGTGGATAAGTTCTCAATTTCCCAGGGACAAAAGGAGCCCTGATTAGGTGAATGTAGATGTACATCTAGAATGTAGAGAAGCAATGCTCTTTAAAACACAAGAGGTTTTTCACATCTATATTGCCAATTTTCTGTTATCCTGAATAAAGAGTCAGACACCAAAGTTGAGAAAAAGTGTCTGAATAAATAGAAATATGCCATGGAACTTATATATAAATCAGTGGGATGGACAGGGAAGATATAAAGGATATAAGAAAATTAGTGACAGCTGGTTGTGTAACACAGATTACTGAGCTAGTGACCAAGCAAGCAGATGAGTACACAGGACAGATTGTCTGAACTTGGGTTTATTCTCCTTCATATCAGACTGGCTTGTATAGACCTAGCCAAGCATCTTTGACCCACAGCTGACCTTCTCAGATATCTTATCTACAAATGCTAAAAAACTGACTGGCACAACCAAATGACAAAAGACATGGAAGAAAAAGATGTTAGCAGCATGTGCATTAACCCCTGTGAGTTACTGATGACCAGTCCATGCACTAAACCAATGCAATCAAACATCTAAGTTGAAAACAGTACATTTACATATCTCAGTTTCTAGGTGTTGTTCCATTAAAGAAAAATAACTTTAAAAAACCCACAAAGCTGGAAGATATATACACAGTATATAAAAAGTTTGTTTGCCTTTTGTTATTCTTATAACAATGTTCCTATCTTTTGGTTTCTTAATTTTTCCAGTGTTCTCAAATTCATTTCCTCAGTATCTTCTGCATGGTCTCAGACAGCTATTTATAAATATAATCAAACTATAGCATTAATATTGATATATATGTATAATTAATATGTAATATACAGAAATTGCATTATTAGGATGTTTTTCACTAGTACAGTGAAAAAATTGAGTGTAAGCTACCATTTATGTACAGAAGGAAGGCTGAGCATAGACTGTAAAGATACAAGCCACTGCAACTGGGTGATCAGTATGAAAGGAAGATGGAATTGAAGCATTCATGTTGCAATGGTGGCAATGGTCAACATGTCACTCAGAAGAGCAGTTTCTGAATCTGTCTTTGAAGATGACTTTCTCTTCCCTTGGCTTACTCTACTACCTCTCCAACACCTAGATGAAAATTGTTGATTGGGAAATAATCACCTGAGTGTGCTGGCTGGTCTGGTGTGGTTGTGAGAAGATGATAAGCAGACACGGAGCTAAGGGATTGACTGGCATTAGAGAGAACTTCTAATCAGGGAAGAGATAGTCAAGGAGCCTATTGCTGAAAGTCAAAGTTCAACATCTACAGCATTTGCTGTTGTTGGATTCTGCCCACCAAGAGGAGCCAGGAGTACATCTCCCGGTTACTACAGGACCCTGTCCCTGTGGTCTCTTCAACAGAAGCCTGCAAGAAGCTGTAAGTGTGGCAACAATCAGGGAGAGAATCTCTGAAAATGGGATGAAAATAGTTTGGCACTCTGGATTTCCTCTGAGAAATTTAGACCACATCCGAGATTTGAAATCACAGAGCTGCAATCATCTAGGAGGCAACTGATAAGAGTGCACCAGAAACACAGTAACAAAAATGTAGAGAGGGTGTCACATAGACAGAGGACAAGACTATCTGGAGAGCTTTGTTTTTAAAACATCTTTTGAGGACCAGAAAGAAAGGAACTGTGGAAAGAAAGTAAATGTATCAAGTCCTTAAATATTGCTTTTGAAGGGCTTTAAGCCTCTTAAGTGTCTATGAAACTAAGAGATGAGTGAGTACAAATCAACCACTAAAGCCACTTTAGAGCAGAAGCATTTTTATTGTCATTTTGTCCTTCTTACTAATGCTAATCATTGTAAAAAAAAAAAAAAAGAAAAAAAGACAAAAAAAAAGACCCAACAAAAACCAGTTACTTAAAGCTGGTTCAGGCCAATTGTACCTGTCTTCCTCCACTCTCAGTGCTGCAAAAGGGAAGGGATTTATTGGCTAGATCCTTCAAGACCTCTTTCAGTTTCACATGCAGCTTAACCTTTCTTGGGGGTAGAAACAGGTCAGGAAAGGATAAGCAGGGACAGGCATCAGACTTGGCTTGTTGCTGCTCTCTGCCTAGGCTGGATGCCTCTCATTCTGATTATGGGATACTTCAAATTCAGAGGAAAGATCTTTTCTAAAGCAAACTCTTTTATCTTCTTCCTCCCCTTCTCACTTCTACCTACATATTTCTCTGTCATCAGTCAACAAGAGAAGATAGAGACTTGCATTTTGAACACAAGGGTGCAAGAAAAGGGAAAAGCAGCAGAAGAGTGCTTCACTGCACCCACAGAAGTTTTTATTTTATTTTGCCCTAAATGAGAATCTAACTTCTTGTGAGACTGTACTTTATGATTTAGTGCTTCTTGTTTTAGTTTAAGGTAGACTTTGTATTGCTGATGTGGGAAGACCTGTTACACAGAAAATAGGAAAAATTTGACCCAGAACATAAAAACAAAATGGCACAAGAACTTTATAGAGATCAATATGGAAGTCATGAAAACAAGACTGCAGGAATGAGGTCTGCTGCAGAGAATTTTGGGTATTTGGGAATCCTTGGGATTGATGTGCAATATGAGAAAGTTCACTTTTGTGCAAAACTGTGAGAGTTCAGCACTTTCTTCATGTGAGGTTGGAAGGGAAATATAACATTGGGACAGCCAGTCCTGT